AAACTGACTTCTAATATTAACCATGGGAATATTTGCGGAACTTAGACAATTCCCAAATAAATGTACTGGCCGATGGCCATTTATGGAAAGCTTTAATTCTACCCAGCCCCTTCAGGTGATCACATGCTCCAAGAAAATAGTTATGCCTAAGAAGATGCATTATTCCCTTCGTAGATAGGGCGGGAAAGCTCAGCTTCCTGTTCGCAGAAAACGACCCTACTCTGCACCCACAACGGCCCCAATAAATTATTTAGAATGACGGTGCCGGTTTAAGTATAGAAGCTGTTTATTGGACAAGAAAAGAACGCTCGAAGAAGCAAACGAACAAGGTGAAAATTTAAACGGGAAGGAAAATTATTCGAATCACAGTAGGAAAATCGGTGGGATGAGGATGGCGAAATGGATCAATTCGTTCCGTGAGTCCAATAATTGATTAGGGCGATGGTGGCGGAGGGGAGCTCTTAAGCGATTGGACGAAGTTCTGACGCAGATATCTAGAAGGCAGAAGGACAAGTAAGTCATTGTTACTACGCGTGATGTTAAGCAACACAGCACTTAGATCCATTTTGTTTACACTATGAACTGTAGTGTAAAACCTCGGTGCCATGAAAACAAATGAAATACTAGCTGGGCTACAGAAAAAGCATCAAGGGCACAAGAAAAAGCTGCCTAGAGTAACGATGTTGGAATGGATAGACCAGTTCCGTGGTTCCAATAGTTGATTAGGGTGCTTGAGGTGGAGGGAGGCTGTAAAGCGATTAGACAATGTTCTGACGAACATATCTAGAAGACGGAGTGACTAGAAAGTCGTTGTTTTTACGCGCGATGTTAATCAGTAAAGCACTCTAATTAACACGGCCTGCGCTATGAACTGCAATGTAAATCGTGCGTGCCCTGAAAACCAATGAAATTCTAGCCGGTTTCCAGGAAAAGCATAAAGCGCAGAGGAAAAAAAACTACCTAGACAAGAACCCGCCAAAGGCTAAGTAGTAACAAAAGATTATACATGTGTAATTTTTAAACACAGAGATGAACCGAGAAATGAGCGACGTACTGGTGAACGTATATGCAGGCTTCGGTAATGCCGTGTCCCAGGCTCTCTGCGGACACCGGTTTGCTGCACCGGTGCAAACCACTTGACAGCCAGGGCCAGTGCTCAGTCAGCAGCTTAACGCAGGGGGTTAAGTTAGTCAAACCCAGCAACTGCGATCTTCAGACCATGGTTAATTACATGAGGAGAGAAATCGGTGAAGGCCCGAGTAGTGGGAAGAGTATATTGTGTACACAAAGGAACGGAGAATAGATGAACAGAGATTTGACTTGGCGAGCCTACGACCAGCAGAAGAGCCAGTTGCGGTCCAAGTGCGGTTTAAGCAGAAGGCATGTCAATGGCAGCGAGAACGGGCATTGTCTGATTGCCTTGAAGGTTATTGGCCGGACAGGCTGCATCGACTAGGCGTGCATGCGTCCTATTCGCCGGCGAGAGAGACCAGCCTTTGCGGATCTGTGATTGGCTGTTGCAGAGTCCGCCTCCAGTGCT